GAATTTCGAGGGAGGACAGTTTTGGTTTTGCGAAATCATAGTGTGTAACATTCGTATTGAACCCCCCTAACCCCTAGCAACCAATGATCAAAAATCACGTGTAATTTTAACATATGAAAGTTGGAAAACAAATGTAAATTCTTTATTATTATAATTTTTTTTAATAAGGGATGCGTTCCCCATTTTTTTTCAATTACAAGTTCACAACGCCTTTTCATAGAATCCACTAAATTACTAAGAGTGGAATTTGGAATTTTTTCCCATTCTTCCTTCATAAATTTTTTTAATTCAGTCTGGTCTTTTGGCATCCGTTTCTCAACGTTAGTCTTAACAATACTCCAAAGGTTTTCAATTGGATTCAAGTCAGGACTATTGGAAGGCCAGTCCATAACTTGCGGCACATTCTCAGCAAGAAATTCTTTAGCAAGTTTACTTGTATGTTTTGGGTCATTGTCTTGCTGAAACCGCCATCTACTCCCCAAAACCTTTTTAACCTCAGGAATATGGTCACAAAGGATATTCACATAAAATTGAGCATCCATAATCTGTGAAAAACAAAATAAAATTGTTTTTCCATTTTTGTAAAATCCACCCCAAGCAAAAATCTTTGTACGATCTTTAGGAATGCGACGAATGGGCCGTTCTCCTTTCTTATGCCAATGTTCTACTGTGTTTCAGAAGAGCTGAAAGGCAGTCTCATCCGTAAACAAAGTCCTTTCCCAATTGTCATTGAGATGTTTATTTGCCCATTCCACCCGTTTTTCTTTATGTGCAGTGGTAAGCATTGGGGTTGCAGTAGGAAGATTTTTTTCATACCCCATATTAGCCAAGTGCCTTCCTACAGTAACATGTGATACCTCCACACCCGTTTGAGACAGTTTTGTGGCCAATGTCCTAGTTGAAAGTGAAGAATCCTGGCGAATGTATTTCCTTAAATGACGTAATGCACTATTTGACATTTTCCGGGTTGAACATTACCACTAGCACGTTTTGTAGTACCAGTCTTTTTTAATTATTTTATATTATCATAGACGGTAGAGGAGGCTATTCCTGTTCTTTTGCAAATTTCTTTGGCGTTTTGGATGCCTTTATTCCAATAAAATTCTATTGTTTGGCGTTGGGTTTCTTTTCTGGCGGTCATTGCTTTGCTATTAGTGAAAAAAAAAAATTTTCAGTGTTTAATTTGGTTAAGCTGTGCAAATTTTTGGTTTCCACAAAAAATTTTCCGGAATTGAATGTTCCACACTGTATCTGGGCTGATCGTTAAAAAAGATGACCAAAAATCTTTTGAAAGAAAACCCATCAAAAGATGACAATAACATTGAGGATACATTAGCTTTCAAGAGATTTGAATCTTTGGCAACTACTCCAACATACACAGGTGCAGTCGTTTTAAAAGATGATGTTGATAACTCTTTACTCAGTTCAGTTCAATTCCACTCATTTTCTATGTCTAATTAATTATATATAAAAGTTTATAAGATTATGTAAAAAAGATTTATCTATTAATTAAATTCTTATTATTTTTTACAGCTATTCAAGTGTATCAAAGCCAACGAGATTTGACTCGTAAAATCAAAAGAAAAATTGTTAAACAACTGATTGTTTCTTTACAGTCAGAAGAAAATCAAATAAAAGTTTTGACATCATCATATTTTCCAATAGATTTGGAAAATGTGACGTTACAAGCTTTATCACCAAATGGTAAAAAATTATTAATATTAAGAGTTGTTAATGATAATAAGGGTAAAAAAAGATATGTCGAGGTATTTAGACCGGCTATAATAATAAATTTGCATAAATAATTAACAAGTAAAATAAATAAATGAATGATTTAGACTTGGATTCGTGGATCATTAAAACATATTATTGATGTTACTGATATTCATGGTGACTTTTACAATAATGGTATATATATATATATATATATACGTGATTACTTTTTAGTCTTTTACTTGGAAATTAACTTTATTTTTTGTAATATCAAAGAAACATTTGGGACTTTGGATTGGTCTAAGGATGGAGAAAAGGCTGTATACATTGCTGAGCGTAAAGCTCTTGATGGTAAAGATGAAAAGGTTGAATAAATCTACAAGTATAAATATACATATAGTAGTGTACATATATTATATTGTAAAGTAAATAAATAAATATATATATATACATGTATTAGAGATTTAATTTTGAACCTGACTGGGGGGAAAAATTGGTCGATAAAAAATTTCCAATTATTGTGATAGTAGATGTAATAAATAATAAGGTTCAGGCTTTGCCTTCATTTGAGAATATTGCACCTGGACAGGTTTGATTAATAATCTTAAATTTTCCAAATCAATTATATTATTTCAATAAAATTTAATTTTATTATATATATAACTTAGATCATATTTGGACCAGATAGTAAAAACCTAATTTTTGCAGGATATCTCACAGAATCACGAAAATTTGGTACTTATGCTTGTATTAACAGAAGGTAGAAAGTAACTCTATTATAGTTTTTTCAATTGTTTAGTAAATTTTATGCTAATTTATTCTGCAACGCACACATATATTTCTCCAGATCAGGAATTTATCAAGTTCAATTAGATGGATCAAACTTAGGTATAAGTTGTTCAAATGATTATACACACATACATCATACATATTTTGAAGCTTATCGAATTGTAATAATTTTATTTGCAAAAAGAATATTTAAGCAATAAAGTAGAACATGCTCGATCTCCAAGACTTAATCTAAATCAAGGAACTCTGGTTTGAATTATTTACAACAATATATTACACTTATATTTATAAATAAATTGACAAACCAAATACTATTTGAATTTCAAAAAGGTATACCTGTCAAATCCAGCAGGTGGACCACACAGTTGTTGTTCAGAACTTCGAAAGGTGAAAAAATTATACTTATTACCTATAACTATTAATATATCTTTTACTAATTATTACCTTAAATAAAAATACAATTAGTATACTTTTGGAAACAGTTCCAATGAGTCTATAATAGTTCCAATCGTTCATTGTCCATCAGAAAATTTCTATGATTATTTTCCAGGAATTTATGTTGATAAATTACCCCAAAAATCATTTATAAAACTAAATGATAATGATGATGAATATGTAATTTTTAATAGTTATTGGAGAAGCAGGCAAGTTATTCTAGCAATTAATTCAATCAACGGTAAAATACAAAATCTTACACCATCCGGAAGTTGGAATTTGCTTCTAGCAGAAAATAATTATATTATTGCAACGAGTAGTTTACCCAATGAATTTCCTAAATTAGTAAGTTAATACAGAATTTTGGTTTGTTATTTTTTATTATTTATGATTATTATTAATAATTTGCAAAATAGTATATTGGCATTATAATTGAAAAACATGAAAGTTTAAAGGTAGATTGGACTTTTATAGATCAGCCGAATTTGGATGAAGGTTTGATATATTTATTAATGTGATAATAATCTTATAATTTAAATTTTTGATAATCCCATTATTATTATTAGTTGAGCCGATTTTATCTAATATCAGCTGGTCAATAATTCAACCTGATGAAACTAACCCTAACCTGGAGTTAATTTACCTAAAGCCAAAAAATGTTACGAATGATAAAATACCTTTAATAGTTGTTCCGCATGGTGGACCACATTCCGTTTCAGTTCTAGGTGTTGATTTATATAATACAATATTAGTTTCATTAGGATATGCTGTTATAAAAGGTACTAGACTTTATAAACAAATAAATATAAAGATTTGATTATTATTATTATTGTCATTATTATTAATACTATTATTAATATTAATTCAAATACAATTTAAAGTTAATTATACTGGTAGTACAGGATTTGGGCAAGATTCTATTGACGCCCTTATTGGAAAAATTGGTGATGTTGAAGTAGAAGAAGTTCAGGTTAATAATCTTATTATTGTTATTTTTTAATAACTCACATTATTGATGATTAATTGTTTGATTTCTTAGTTATCTACAAAATACATAATTGAAAAAGAAAATTTAGATGAAAAAAATGTTGTTATTATGGGTGGTAGCCATGGAGGATTTATCTCGGCCCATTTAATTGGCAAATATCCAGTTAAGTTGTTGAATTTATCATTATTTGATAAATTTTAACACATACATTATGAATGAATATTTGTAACATAAATATAATATTACAGGATTTTTATAAGGTCTGCATAATGATGAATCCAGTATTGAATATTGGAGGTAATTATAAAATTATTAAAAAATTTAATAATTATTTTTATTATTCATATTGATTTTTTTCTTGAAAAATTCTTTAATACATATAACAGGAATGACTCCAATTACTGATATTCCAGATTGGTAAATCATTTTAGATTTTAAAAGTCAAATTATATATTTTAAAATATTAACAAAATTAACCAATTAGGTGTTTTTCCGAATGTGGAATTGAATATTCGTTAAAAAGACCATCAATAATGAAACCAAAAGATTATTCACAAATGTTTAATAATTCACCAATCAAGAATATTGATGAAGTAAAAACACCCACATTATTAATGTTGGGACAAGAAGATAAAAGAGTTCCACATTATAATGGATTAAATTGGTGGTATTACCTTAAGGGTAAAGGTGATGTAGATATTCAGTGTAAAATGTATAATGAAACAGGCCATTCTTTGGATAGCATAGATGCAGAAGTTTTTGGTTTCATAGCTATAATTAACTTTTTAAATGAAAAAGCAGGATTTAATTTATCAAAAGATTCTTAATATTACTTATCCAAAGTTTTTGTAACCTTTTAATGTTTATATTACAATTAATTATAATTTATTTACTTGTGTTATTTAGTATTTTATGATTTTATATTCATTTAATCTTTCTTTTTTATTGACTTGGCTTTTTGGGGATTCTAAAATAAAAAATTTTTAGAAGGCTTACATGATAGTGTTTGGAGATGTTGTTTACTGTCCAACACTTAAAGTTCATTTAATAAAATGAGAAAATCTAATCATAAAGCAAGTTGTAGAATTAACAAGCAGAACATATAACGAATTTTGTTAAATCTCTCCGACCAGGAGACTCCCATCGGATCTTTTTGATATTTAAGAGTGTGCTAATTGGTGTTGATGATTGGTGTGGTATGTAAGTTTTTGAGAAGGATGATAAAATGGAATGAGAAGTTGAGAGCATCAGCAATAGCAATGGATTATAGTGTAACCACATTTGAATGAAATACATGATGATGGGTTGATACACCCAACAACACCATGTACAGTCTAATGCACATCCTCTATAAATGTACACTTTCACTCATTCCCAAGTTCGGGACTTAATATAAATAAGTGCACCCCTCTTTATTCTACTGCACAGTCTTTTTTCTATATAAAGCCACCCTCACTAAATGCATACCCATGACTTTCACATGATATGTGCAATGAAAAGATTTTTTCCTTTTTCTGCATATATTCATTTTTTGATGGATGATCTTTACGATACAGTCATTGCAAGGATTCAATCTTTTTTTTAATATATCCATGGTTTTGATTTTTTTTTTCTTTTTTACAAGAATACATTCATTGTATTCTTATTTGTTTTCTTTTACAAGACATCTGCAGCTGCCCATTCACCATATTTTATTTTATATACAAATATTAAATTGTTCCTTTATAATACTCTTAAATAATAATTGTCTGTTAATGAAAATATGTATGTTGCTTTTTAGCAATAAGTTATTAAACTAAATGAATGCCATTAATATAAGAATGGAAAAAGAAATCTTTGAAAGTGAATGGTTAGTTTTTTTTTTAAAAAAGATTAGTTTGGTTTTGTTGATATCAAATGCTTGTGAGAATATAAATAATGCTTAAATTTTGTTTAAAAAAAATTCATACATGAAATTAAATCAAATTCTTTTTTCTAATAATAATAAAAATTCTATCCATTAAATTTTTGTATTCATTAAATATTTTGTTCTTTTATTGCTTTTAAATACAATACCTCCAAAAAGTAAAGTAACTTTGTCTGATTCTCAAAAGTATAAAATTTGTCTATTTGCTAGAAAGAGCAAATTAACAAATATGTCAATTGGATTGAACAAAAGTGGATGGTTAGAGTAGATGAAAAACAACTATAATGTGAGATAGTAAAATGAGGACTGATAGAGGTCACTAAGGATACCAGCTACAACTTTTGATGATGGTTGCTACCACCTTTACGTCATATAAAAATGGTTGCAACCACCTTTATGACCATTTTGTTTCCTTTTTTGGATTGCAACATGGAACATACTGCTGTAGTCGCGTGACTGTCAACGCATCATTTCTAATTTTAATATATTCCGTGTAACGGTTTCACCACATATCGTGCGATGTTATACTAGGCCCCCGGATAATTCTAATTGATGTGGTAGGAAAATCTAATAGTAATTTTTGAAAACTTTACCCACTTTTTAGGA